CGCGACCCGCTGTGGTCGCCCAGCACCTGTGTAAAGACTTCCCTTACTGAGCTGGTACCCTGATGGTACTTCAGGGCTAAAAGGAAAACCTTTCTTTGCGCAGGAGCAATTTTCCGCCTGTGCCTTTCGTTGTGAGTACAGGTTTCGTCTGTGGAAACAGAGTTGATTTTAAAGGCTAGACAGGATGGTGGCGAAATGCTACTGGTCACACGTCGTAAAAACAGAGCTGCAGTCACAGCACGGCAAAGAAGTGGGACCTGGGGTTGTTAGAATTACTCGTGCCTAGATAAGACTAGATTTTTAAGGGTGATACAGTATTTGATGAAAGATGCTTGAGTTGAGCATGGAGAAAAAAGGAATCGTCCGAAAAGTTTGTGATATTGTATTTAAATATCAATTTAATGTGCAGGATTAGTCTTAATAGCTGCCGTGTCTAGAGTGCAGTGATTTATATCGTTCTGGGAGTAGTTCTAGAGTGCTTTGGGTGTTTCTAGCTATGATTTTTTTCCATCTGTTTTACTGGTCAGGGTGTTTTTTATTTTTGATTGTCATCTTAAAATGCTCGTGTCATTCTGCTGTGCATCTTTCACCCTCAGAATTCCCCAGCCCGAAATAGCAGTTCTCTGGAGGAAGTGTGAAAGAGCAATTTTCTGGAGGAAGTTACCGTCATTGCTCTGTTTTGTATCTGATGTGATTCAGATAGAGCTTTTATGTGAACTTCCCTTGTGTTTAGGGAATAGAGTTGGTTTTTCTTAAGATGCCTGGTTAATTGAACTGTGGAAAAAAATAGCTCTGATCTAAAGGACAGTTTCTATAAATGTAAGGGACTGAAGGTAGAGGTATCCAACTTGGTGAAGATCTCTGAAATGAAGAGAGAGGCAGTTGTTGCAGATTGTCTCGTGGATGTGGGTGCAGAAAGCCCATAAACGTGAGTGGAATGAAAATATGAGCAAAGGAGATAATTTCATCATTTCTTGACATTTGTGGAGAGCAAGTGTGGTATCTTTACTTACTTAAAAAGCAAAATAAAGACCTAAATCAAAATACCATAGATCCTGCAGTGTAATCTCTAAAAATGCTGTTTCTTGCTATGTGGAGCTTAGTATGCAGGATATGAACATTGAGTAGGTAGATATGAAAAAGCATCAAGTTTTCAACTCGAAACCTTTACAGAGAGCACCATGATGATGAGAACTTAGCCTGTGAGTGTCCGAAGGGGCTACAGGGGAGCTGGAGAAGGGACTCTTGGACAGTACAAGGGGCAATGGGTACGAATTGAAGGAGAGGAAATTTAGGTTAGATGTTAGGAAAACGTTTTTTCCTGTGAGGGCAGTGAGACACTGGCACAGGCTGCCCAGGCAGGTAGTGGATGGCCCAACCTTGGCAGAGTTCAAGGCCAGGTTGGATGAGCCCTTGAGCAACCTGGTCTTGTGAGGTGTCCTTGCCCATGGCAGTTGGGGTTGAGACTGGGTGGTCTATAAGGTCCATTTCAACCCCTAAAATTCTAGGATTCTATGAATTTGTTAAATCCTCTCATGTGCAACAAAAGTTGTGCCTGTGTCATTTTTTTGAATAAGTCATAGGGGATGACAAATGCATATTTTTCCAATCAGAGGACAGGAACTTTGGGGGTTTTTTTTATTGGGGGTTAAAATGAAGTTGAATGACCCTGATGCCAGTGTGCACAAGGGAAGGAAAACAAATTTGCTGCTCTTCAAGAGACACACACAAAAGTGATATCTATTGTCTTTGAAAATAAAATGAATGAAATATTTTTTTTATCTTGCTGAAGGAATCTCGGACCCTGGCTGAAATAGCGAAGGCAGAACTCGATGGTACTATTCTGAAGAGCAGACCACTTCGAATTCGATTTGCTACCCATGGAGCTGCCTTAACTGTGAAGAATCTTTCCCCCGTGGTTTCTAATGAGCTGCTGGAACAAGCCTTCTCTCAGTTCGGGCCGGTGGAGAGAGCGGTCGTTGTAGTAGATGATCGTGGCAGAGCCACAGGAAAAGGTTTCGTAGAGTTTGCAGCAAAACCCCCAGCGAGGAAAGCTCTAGAAAGATGCAGTGATGGAGCATTCTTGCTAACAACGTAAGTTCATAGGCTTTTGTTTCAATTTGTGTATCTTTTTGATACAAATGGAAACTGCATATTCCCTAGGTCTTACTTTGAAATTATGAAAGCCATGGGGTGAAAAATTAAGGTGTTTTACATGAATACCCCAGATACTCTTGATTTTTTTTTTTCCCAAGAAAACCATCTCTCTGTTTAGCAACATTTGTTACTGTCATATGAGAGTCTGAGAGCAAAATTTGTCTTTTTCTTGCCTATATGCAGTATTACTTGTTTACTTGTCCGTCTCTATATAGCAGGGCACTTTCTAGCAAGATTGTGTTTTCACTGGTTACCTTGTTCCTGATGCCTGTAACAATGTGGTAAAATAACGTACCTTTGTTTCCTCATGAAACAGTGCAGCCATTGCTGATACTTCTGTAGACTCAGGAAAGTGTTTCTATGTCAAAAGTTTTGTTTGTGCCTTGTAAGGCCTGACTTTTTGTGTTGTTAAATGACTGAGATTCTGCAGAGGTTTATAGCAATGATCTCTGGAAAACTTTCTGTTTCAAGGGCAAGCAAGCTTGCAAATTGCAGCACTTCCCTCCCAACTCCTATTTCTCTACTTGCTGAAGAGAGTTGTTACCTGCTGTGCTTTAATATATTCACAGGTGACATTTTCAAATGCTTTCTTGAAGACTGAATGGTAATATTAATGATTTTTTTAATATAAATTTTTCTGTTTCTCATTTGGGGAAAATAAGGCTGTGGTTTCACAGCATGGAAGTTTGCTGCCATTGAATTGGGATCTTGTTCTTTTCCTCTTCCTGTCCTGGCTATGCTGTGGATCTTTTATCTGCTTGAGAACTTCATGATATTTCCATAGGCCACTTCTACTTGCTAAAACAGGAAAGCATTCATTTAGTTTTTCTTGGGTTCACTGCCATCTGTTTAAGCACGTGAAGGTGCTTATTAATGTCAGGTCCAGCAGAGAGTAAGACAAGAGAAAATGCTGCCAGGGGGAGATTGTGAGTGGTTAAGGGGTCTGGAACTCTGTTTATTGTGATAATTGCATAAATCCTGTGTGCCACTGAATTAATTTGGTGGTTACATAGTAAATTCAATATGAATATGTCTCTGCTGTTATGAGTAAGTCCTAGCAATTTGTTCTTATCTCCTGGGCTTTCTTGGCATTAGTATTTGAATGGAAGTGTGGTGAGCCAATCTAGTTCAGTGTTACATGAACGCTATTCTTGGCATGAGAGATGTGTCAGGGAAAAAGAAGTTAGGATATGTTTTACCAGCTGGATAGTTGAGTTGAATAGAAATAACTATCTCACCATGGTCTGAGTGAATAAAAAGCACTTGATGCTTGTCTTGCTTTGGGGGATGACATGTTCCCTGATGCCCACTTGCAAAGATAATTGGCATGAATCTGCTGCCATGATACCTTGATGTTTTGTTTGAGTCTAAAATTTAAGGTTTTTAGCTGAAAACTTTTCCTGATTGGAAGAAAATCTTTATATTCGTGGGCTAAATATATCAAAACTAGACATGTAAAAGATTAATTTAGAGATTTAAAATTGTTTTAAATCATAACTTGTTAGTACCACGGTTCAGTTGCATTTAAGTAACAGAACTGCCAGCAACTGCCATGCGCCAGGAGAAACAGTTGCTGAGTTGCACCCTGTGATTTCAGACTTCGTCATTTTAATCTAGTCTTGATGTCCAAAGTTGTTTTTTTTTCAGCTGTCGATGTTTTAAAAATACATTATGTTTTTGTATTTGGTATTTTGGTTTGGTTTGGTTTGGTTTTGTGCAGGGTGGAACAGGGGGGTGGGGTGGGGTGAAGGTCTGCACAGTGAAATGAAGATGTGGAGCAAACGAGTATTGAGTGCTGGTGTTTGGAAAATAGTGTCTCTAGTGCTTTAGAGTGTGTCTTATGGGCTCTGCTCATAAGACTGATGTAGAGCACTTCTTACACAATCCAGGATGCTTACGCTGCTCTCCTTGGCACTAGTTACTACAGATAATGAGAATTCAGTGACAGTATTTTCACAGATAAATCAGGATTTTGATTTGTGAGAGTGTGGTTGTTCAAAGAATGGGTTTTAAGTAATGTCCTGGGTTGCAGTGTGGGGGGTATCCATGGTATGTATTCTATTATCATCTCCACAAGCTGTTAAAGCAGGTGGGGCAGTGATCCTTATCACCTTGTCGCTCCCTCAGGGCAATCCTGATGGCTCCCTCAGGGGCTGTCAAGGACCCATGCATGACACATCCTCCCAGTGATCCTTATCGCCTTGTCCCATGGTGAGGTGACTCACCCCAGGGGTGGGGAGCCAGACATGCTCACAGGGATGTAAGCTGGGGTTTGGACCAGCACTGGGAGCCCTTTGCCTGCTGGATTCCCAGAGGACAAGAGCTGGACCTTCAGGAGAGAACCGATCTGCGGGATCACTGCTCCAACAAAGCCATTGCTCCAGGAGGACTGCAGCACCATTTAATCGGATTACTACTACACCCTGACTGACAGGGTGTCAGGTTACTTTCTGACTCTGTCAGGTTATTTTCTGACTCTGTCAGGTTACTTTTTTTTGTACTGTTGCATTTGTGTTGTTTTGTTGTGTTGTTCATATTAAATTGTACTTCTGACTCAGAGTCTCTCACCGGTTTGCTTTTCAAACCAGCACAAGTAATTAGGAAAACATTTCTGCTTATGACCAGAATATTAATGCCAAATTATTGAGCTGTTTTCAATTGGAGAATAACTTTCAAAATGAAGCTATAAAATCTGTAGAAATATGAATAGGTTGTGTTGGTCTGTCTTGGATTTCATACTTGCATAGTGCAATCATGGCCTCTCTGTTGCCTCACTGATGAAAGCAAAAAGATTGTTCCTTCCAAAATATTTCCTAATTGTTGTTTAGATGGTTTTGATATTTTTTAAAAGCTTTAAATACTTCATATGAAACAAAATGGCATCAACGAAGTCGTGGTTTCTAGTTGGAATAGCTGGTTGTGGGTATAGAAACAATTGTTTTCAAAGGTAATTCTTAAAATCAGGATTCATTGAAATTCTGTAATTTAAGACAAGACACAAGAATTCTAGATAGCATGATAGCTTTCTGGAGTGTTTCCTCAAAATGTTGAAATAACTTTTAACTGCTTCATTTACAATCCAATTATTACATTGAAACTGTTTTCCAGAACACCTCGACCTGTTGTTGTAGAACCAATGGAGCAATTTGATGATGAAGATGGACTCCCAGAGAAGCTAATGCAAAAAACACAGCAGTATCACAAGTAAGTTGTGTTTAGTTTTATTTTATGGAACATGATTTATGTACTTAGTTACCTTGGTAAATATACACTGATTTTTATTTTCCAGTTTGTGTAGCAGGAAGTAGTGTTTAGTATGTTGTGCTGTTTCATGGCAAAAGATTAAACAGGGTTTTCCTAAAATCTCCTAATCTTAGTAAATTTCAGACCTGGCTTGTTGGTTTAGCACTGCATTTACTGGAGTAGATTCCTGACCTACACTGAAATCAGTGGGAGCCTATTGCCTACCAAGCTATAGTCTTTTATGGATTAGGGATGTGGTCTAATCCTGCAGAGATTTGTATACCCACAGATTTTTTTTCTCTCTGAATAGCCCCTTAAACTGTTGTCAAAGTCAGTGGAGTGTAAATCTTTGCAGCTCCCATAGTTCAGATAAAACTTTGGGCATGACATGTGAAAGTGAGTGTTGGTCATGCGGTACAAGTCACCTAATCTGAAAATACTAGTTTCTAATATGGAAACTTTTCATTTAAAAATCATGTTGCTTGAAGCTCAAATGGTTGTTCTGATTAGGCTGTAGAATACCACTTTTTAAATATTGGTCACTGTTAGGTACAATATGACCATTAACATATAAAATAAAATATTGGCACCCTTTAATATTTACAGATTTTGCTAATATTCTGAGCTGTCTAGGAAGCTTTGGTATCTATTAAATAATTGGTTTTATGAATTGACTGCTTGCTTTAGAAGGCTGAACAGAGTTAATCTAGTGTTGCAGATTAGTATTTTGTACCAATGTAAAAATGAATTTTTATCTTAGAATTAAATAGATTGTTCAAATAAAGATACAATTTGAGCATATTACTTTTCTTAACAGCTGAGTTAAATTTTATCTGGTTTAGAACATAGACATCTGACAGGTTGATTTAAAGTCGGATCTGTGCTTGAAGTGATTGTTTATAGGTTCTGTTACAGTTGTGGATGTAAACGTGTCCGTGTGTATGTTTT